AGTCAGCTATTAAAATCAAAACAATCTGTTTATGATTCTGAGTATATGTTGTGAACTTATTACCATGTCTATAATGACCAATCAAGTACCCCCTTATGAGCTTTCCAGATGCAGTATGGGCATTTAGTGCTTTGGTAGATGGACTGACACAGCAGGTTTAGGGGACAGTAAAGCCCCCACACTGGTCAGTTTCAGGGTGGGGTAATCGCGGGACGCCTCAGTATCGCTTAGGTGCCGCTAACATCTTGTCACCTGGTGGGAATTCAAAATAAGACTTTTTACAGCACAATAATAACATCACACAAATTCTGCCTTTTAGACTGAAAAACGAAAGTCATTATTTGCGCAACCATGTTAGCATTTGAACTAACTGTTATTCTCTGGTGAGAGCTGAATAAAAATAGAAACCACTTTTCAAAATCATTTTTGTAAAGCTCAGTGATATTTGAACAAATTCTATAATGCTTTCAAATACTGTTTCTAATTTGCAGGAGCAATTGGGAGAAAACATACACCGTGATAAAGGATTTTGTAAATCAGTGCATTATTTAACTGATATTAGGAGTAAAAGTAGCACAACAAAGCACTTCCCCTTCAGTTTGACCCAGTGATGGAGTGTAATTTGGCTTGAGTGTACTTGAGATGTTGCTGCAATTAATTTTTGGTTATTTGCATCCTGAATTTCCATAAAAGCCAAACAAAACCTTGGAATTGTTTACAGCAAAGAACAACTCATTAAACACAAGATCTGGATGGTTACCATCATGACTACACAGAAATACAGAGGTGATTCAGTATTTACCCGACTGAACAGGCACAGTATTTTTATTTTATTTCATCTGCTTGTGCTGGAGGCATCGCTGGCACAGACCGTGAGGATTTGGTAAACAACACTTGGGCAGAAGGGCAAATGTTGAGTTTCAACACAAGTATATTTTAACCACAAAATCTAACTTGTGGGAGCTCTCCTTTTCACAAGAGTTTTCTGAACGCTATTGAAGGAAGCCATCACACTTCATCCAATCACTTCTGGACAGACTCAACAAGCAAGGAACATCTTGAGGCCGAACTGCAACTGTGATCTGGTTACCAGTCTCTCCGAAATTTGTCTTAAATCATTAAACATGGATTTGGTGTCTCAAAGAGCAAAGTGAAGTGAGGAAACAAAGTTACAAACACTAATTTCTCAGTGAGTGTTTCAAGTGATGTTAGAGAAGATTTGAAGACTTTTAAGACAATTACAGTTTTTAGTGATTGTTGTTATTCACGATAATTACTCATATTTTCATGAGAACTTATTGAAAGGCTATTTTTTCAACAGCTAAATTTGCATTATCAAGCACATACACAAAAATTGACCCGTGTTGCGATTTTTAGAGTGTGTCATGACAGAAACATACCACAGAGATATTATTTGGATACTATTTATATTCTGTGGGACTAATTAGCACTATATTTAGTTTGATATTATTTACGTGGGGGATTTTTAAAATTTATTACAGTGGTTCATAATATCTTTCCTGAACAGAGTCAAATGTGAAATAGGAAGATCTATTTGTGTTGTTAGGCTCTAATGAACATCATACTGGTCAGAAATGTCAGTGATTTTATACAGCTGTCTTGCAAACTTTTGATGCTATCAATGTTATCATATTTATGCTGCATTTGTGTTTCATTACCTGATAATTGTTGGGACCCCAATTAGAGTATTTTACAAGATAGCTCAATCTGTTAGGGTATCAACTGATTTCATTATTAATTCAATTTCACCACCACTCCAGGTCCAAGAGTCTACAGCTGCACTGGCAGCTCCATGAGGCTAAATGCTAACACCAGCATGCTTACATGCTCACATTAATAATGCTAACATGCTATAATGTCTCAAGCAGCAGGTATAATGTCTACCATAATGTGTTCGCCATATTAGTTTAGAGTGCTAGCAAGCTATTTACTAATTAGCACTAAACACAAAGTACAGTTGAGGTGGGATCATGATAGTAAACATCATCACAACACAAATATAATGGGGAGGGGAAACCACATGTTGTGAATGAGCTTTGGTTGTAAGTCTATTGAAATTGCATTGTCTTTTCCTTTCATGCTGCCTTTGTTAAAGTAAAACTAAATTCTGTAAACACATTTCAGTGAATTTACAGTCTGATGATTTTTCAGGGAAATTGGCAGCCAGTGACTCAGTCTGGTTAGGGGTTTGTGGATGATTTTTATTACATTCATAGCAAACACTCATTTTTATTCATGTATTAATAAACTACCTCTATTTTATTTCCATGTTTTCATGGAAGACATGAAACCATAGTCCTGAATTTGTTTTGACAAATTGTGCATCTGTTCTGTCATTGTCTTTGAATTGTTCCAGGAACTTCTGAAAAAGTCACCACTTAGTTATACCGTTACTACTGCAATACGTCGCTTTTTGTACAAGCTGTGAATCTGAAAATCAAGTGTCACACTGTGAGTGTTTTGTTTTTCTCATCATTTCTTGGTTAAATATCAGACTCAGTTGGTGTCTTCACACACTACAGACCTGCCTCCCAGATGGGTGAGTAAGCCGATATCTTTGTGCCTGTCACTTTTCATAACTGTTTCTGACAGCACGAGTTCACACAATGCCTCGTTGTAAAACAAAGCAAAGCACGTGTAAGGATATAAATGCTTTAGATATAAATGGAACTTTAAGAAGGGCAAAAGAAGATGAAAATCAAGAAAGAAACAAAAATTGGACAGAAAGAAAGAAAATACTAACTTTTCCAACATGTAAATGCAACTGGTTACTGTTGATCAACTGTTGTTTACCTGCCGTGTTTATTCATTTACAGTCCTGTCTTCATCATCAGTACTGTTTGTATTTTATTTAAAATAACATCAGTTTTACATGGATCAAATGCCAATGTGTCTATGTGAAAGTGCTCATTATTTGTGATGAACCCGCAGACAAACAACGGCTGTGGCTCAGAGGTAGAGCGGGTCGTCCCCCAATCGGAAGGTTGTTGGTTTCGATCCCCGGCTCCTCCTGGCACGTGGTCGAGTATCCTTGTGCAATCTGAACCCAAATGTCTCCTGATGCTAGCATCGTGTGTAATGTTATAAATAGTAGTTTCTGTCGATGCTTCGATACTTTCATGACTTTGCCACGCTAGTGTGAAGTGTGTGAAAGGTAATGTGCACGTAGTGTAACAAGGCTGAGTGGTCGAACTAAACGCTATACCAATACAGGTCCATTACAAAATCCAACTCAACTCGACCATTCCTTTGAGCCTCTATGGAGCATTTTAGCATCAGCTCATTGTTGTTTTTGTTTTCCGGCTGCAACTTGACCGTTTCGGTTCACTCATTCACTCTAATCAACCTTATTTCCAGAGAGAACAGGCAGTTGTTTACAGTAGACAACACAGTGGAGCATTTAGCAAATAAAAAGATAGAAAGATATTTCCCTCAGGAGTTTGTGGAAAAAAGAGTGAATATAAGACTTATATTCACCAAAATGGACAGAAACACGATTCCAAATGAATGATGATGTTGCTCCATAACTGCTGGATGTGTAAATAGGATACGGTAGGCTAATTCACCACATCACACCACAAAAAATCAGTTATTGCAGATTACAGGCACTCATACAAATGCTGTTAGATATAGATGTCTTGCAGCTGATGATAATACTTAAGTTAAACCTTAAAGTCCCTAATTTATGGAGGCATACATTTACTACTTGGTATCAAAGAGCGAGTCACTGATGATTGATCAGTTATTAAATCAGGAGTAAAAAAGGCTGAGTATGCACGGACGAGAGGAACAGGTGGCAAACTAATGATGCTAATGACAATGAACAGTTAGCAGAACAAGGAACAGAAAATGTGGACAAAAAGAGGTGAGTATGTGTAATTGATATTGGACTGAAAAAACAGAAGGTTTAAAGTTACATTCACTGGAGTACTTGCTCTCAGCAGATTACAAAGAATTGCATAATCCAAGCTGAGCTGATGATAATGATCTGTTTCATAGCAGTTACAGTAAATTATGTGTAGCATGATGAAGCAGATACACAATTTCTGAGTGTTCAAGCTTATGATACTTTCTCCTGTAGGTAAAAATTCATAGAACCACAAGGGCACATAAAGAGGAGCATTTAAGATGCAAGTGGCAAAAACACAGAGAGAGAGAAAGACACAGTGAATGTCAACAAGGCAGATCAGGATCTCTCAAATGGTTATGATATAGATTTATGTGTTCTGACATCCCACAGATGGTGTGAATTAGTCAGGGAGGGGGTGCCAGCACGAGGTCAAGAGAGATGACCCGGCCTTCAGCCTGCCACTTGGGAAACCAAAGCAACAGACACGTGGAGCTGCTGCTGCAGTGCAACAACCCAGAGGCTGCTAGACCAGCTGTTATTGAAGCTGCAAAAGAGAAAGTGCTCCCGTAAACTGCCCTAATCTCATCATCCTGAGAGATAAACAGCACTGAAAGGAGCCACAGCAGCACAAACTTGCATAAAAGCAGGCTGGGTGATAATAAAAAAAAAAGCTACATTGATTTTGACAAAGAGGAGAAAAAGAATTTTGTAAATATGAACACACGCAAACCAGATCAAATGGGTTTCTAAATGTGTAATGATTGATTTTTTTTTTCATTGCCTGGAGATGATTTTGCATGTGAGCCTAGTTTTCTATTAGCCAGTACTTACTGGTAATAGGAAAGATGACATAAGTGAATTATTTTGTCGAGAATTATTCAAAGGCAAAGACATAAGGGGCTTCAGCTTTGTGAGGAAACATTTCAAGCCATTTATGCGCACCTTGAAGAACAAGCCAAAAGCTAACGAGAAAAACTTTGAGAATGTTCCACAAAAACAACGAAGCACAGAGAATTAGCAGAATCAGCCTAAGGAGACAGTTACTATATGTTTGACAAATATAGACTTCAAGTAGAGTGAGACTTGCAAAAAATACAATGAAAACGTAGAAACAACAAGAGAGGCTCACCTGATTGATGTGTTTCAGTTTGTCAATGATCTGATTTATTACAGGGTCGGCTCCCTTCACTTTGACTTCGGGGTTGGTACTCTGAGCCTTGATCCCATTGCCCACCACACGGAGGGTATAGCTGTGAACAAAATACAAAAGACAGAGGGGTCTGTAAGTATTGTGGTAAATAGTTAGTTAGTTAGTGAGGTACTTGTGCTTTTCTTTATCCTTTAAATCCACTACATTTCAAAGGGAAATACTGTACTTTTCACCCCACTGTATTAATTTGACAGCTGTACTTACTAGTTACCTTTCACATGAAGATTACACAATAAAAAAACATATGATACACTTATCCATGCACTCCATGCATTGTCAAAGACTGTGATTTATAAAAAAAGAAAAAGAAAAGTGTCTAGTTGAGGCTTTTAGTCATGTTTAATTTGTCTATGAGTTGTTAGCAGTTCCACCAAAGAGACATTTCATGGTTTTATTCATGGTTTACTACAAATGCTCGAGGCCCAAAAGGGTAAAACTCTCTAATGTTTCACAAAAAAACAGCAAAGATTAGAGAAAGGTCCAACAAATGACCACAGATTTGTGTGGCAGAAATTAGTTTCTTCTTTTCTCTCCCATTAATCATCTCACAACCTCTCAGATTTATCTTGTGACCTTTTAGAGAGGGCCCGACCCCAACATTCAGAACCACTGCACAAAACGTCTTAACTATATATAAAGTAGTTAAAACTAGAGCAGCTCTAACAGTAAAATACAGCTTGGATAGATGCAGCAGTACAGTCAGAGTACAGTACAGTTTTTACTTTTAATACTTTAAGTACATTTTACTGATAATACTTCTGTACATTCACTTTAGTAATAGTTTAAATTCGGGATTTTTGCTTGTAATGGAACACACTGCAGCATTGGTACTTTTACATCAGTAAAGGAACTGAATACCTCTTCCACCACTGAGAAATATGCCGGTGATGTGTTGGAAAAGCAAACTCAGCACTCTCACACTGAATAAAGTCCAATCTCTCCAAATGATCAATATTCTGAACACACACAAAGGTGATGGCACAATTCATTTGTAGGCATATCCTGGGGTTAAAGTGGGATCGGTGATGTGCAGGAGACATGATTCACCTGCGCATGCACGAATGGACGTGTGTCTCTGCTGCAGTGTTGCCGCATATTCCATGTATGCTTTATAAAAACTATAAATCAAGCTTTTTACGATCGCTCTTAGAAATGAAACCATTAAACCACTCCAGTATTGTACTCAAGTATCCAATTACAGTTTGTGCCTTAATGTGGCAATATGTACCATTAATGCTTTCAGTTCATTGTTGTTATAGCCTGGTAACAGGCTTCACTTCACCTCAAGGACTGCTCACTCTTTAGTTTTAATACAGTCTGTCAGCTGTAATGACTCTGACCATGGCAACCAGTGGATGAGCACAATTCACTCACATCTCAATCTCCAACATATCATTTAATCAAACTAGTAGATCAAGGTAAAGTCACTCAGGAAAGACAACTCATGGTGAAAGACCTGCTGAGCTCTTTGTATATGGTGTGTGTGTGTGTGT